GTTAATATAGGATACCAGTTAATATAAATTACCAGTTAATATAGTTTACCAGTGAATATAGATTACCAGGTAATATAGATTACCAGTAAACGATATTACCAGTTAATATAGATTACCAGTAAATATAGATTACCAGTTAATATAGGATACCAGTTAATATAGATTACCAGTAAATATAGGATACCAGTTAATATAGATTACCAGTAAATATAGATTACCAGGTAATATAGATGACCAGTAAATATAGATTACCAGTTAATATAGGTTACCAGTAAATATAGATTACCAGTTAATATAGGTTACCAGTTAATATAGTTGTGGTCCTCTGTAGCTCAATTGGTAGAGCATGGTGCTTGTAACGCCAGGGTAGCGGGTTCGATCCCCTGGACCACCCCATACGTAAAAATGTATGCACACATGACTGTAAGTCGCTTTGGATAAAAGCGTCTGCTAAATGGCATATATAAATATATATGTTAATATAGGTTACCAGTTAATATACTTTACCAGTAAACTATATTACCAGCTATATATATAGATTACCAGTTAATAAAGGTTACCAGTTAATATTGTTTACCAGTAAATATAGATAACCAGTTAATATGGATTACCAGTAAATATAGATTACCAGTTAATATACTTTACCATTAAACTATATTACCAGCTATATATATACAGTGGGGAAAAAAAGTATTTAGTCAGCCACCAATTGTGCAAGTTCTCCCACTTAAAAAGATGAGAGAGGCCCCTGTAATTTTCACCAATAGGGTACATCGTCAACTATGACAGACAAACTGAGAAAAAAATATCCAGAAAATCACCATTGAGGATTTTTAATGAATTTATTTGCAAATTATGGTGAGAAATTAAGTATTTGCGTCAATAACAAAACGTTTCTCAATATCTTTGTATATACCTTTGTTTGCAATTGACACAGGTCCTAAACGTTTTCTGTACGTCTCACAAGGTTTCACACACTGTTGCGATGGTATTTTGGGCCAGTCGAACTACGTACTGTCACTCCCTCCCAGAATTGTTACATGAATTGGTGAATAACTGTCTGAAAGACTGGAAAGTTACTGCTTCAATGCCCAACGAAGAGTCCTACCGTACTTGCCAAACATGAGTTGTGTTGGACAGTCATTGTGAAGGACAACACAGTTTTTAATGCCTCTACCTATGAAGGAGTTATTCACTCATCCACTTCAACAGCGATTACCAGTAAATTTAGATTACCATTATTAGATTCCAGTATAATTTGCAAGAAAACAGATCGCAAGCTTAATTAGATGACCCAGTAATAAGTAGCCAGTTATATGATGCATTAATATAGATTCTAGTCAATATACGATCGACAGTTAATTATTACCAGTAAATAAGCAGTTATTTTACTTACCTAGAAACTATAATTACCAGTTAATATAGATTACCAGTAAACTATTACCAGTATAATATAGGACAGTAATAGTAGTTTACCAGTTATGTAGGCTTAGCCAGTTAATAGTAGTTACACATTAGATATGGACCCGGCGTCGAAATAGATTACAGTTAAATAGATTACCAGTAAATTGTCCCACCTTAAATACTTACCAGAATATAGTCCACCCAGTAATATGGTTCGAGTTAATATACGATTCCAGTAATTATGGACCACCGGTTAATATAAATTCGTTAGATAGGAGTCCAAAATCATAGATTACAGGGTAATTGATGTTACCAGTAACGAATATTGCTCCCAGTTTATAGATTCCATAAAAGCAGTTACCAGTTAATTAGTTTCCCAGTGGTAGGTTACCAGTTATTTAGATTCCATGACAGTATAGATTCTCAGCAACATGACAGTTGATGATTACCAGTTTATTAGGTTTACAGGTTTTATATGTAACCAGTTAAATTGCCAGTTAAATAGATTCCGAGTGGAAGACAGAGTAGACCAGTTTAAAATAGTTACCAGTCTTAATATCCAGAATCATGCCAGTTGTAGTGAAAATATTTTTTCCCATTAATATTGATTACCAATTAATAAAAAACTACAGTAATTTATGACCATTTATTATTTTCCAGTCATAGTTGGTCTCTGTAGTCATGTAAGACCATGTGATGAACCCAGGTAAGTCGGGTTCATCCCCTGACCACCCCATACGGGAGAAACTTGACATTGGTGGTGCAAACTTTCTGACCGTAAGTCCTTTGAAAGCGTTGCTAATGATTAAAATATTATGTTAAAATGGTCCAGTTAATTACTTACCAGTAAACTATATTACCAGCTATATATATAGATTACCAGTTAATAAAGGTTACCAGTTAATATTGTTTACCAGTAAATATAGATAACCAGTTAATATGGATTACCAGTAAATATAGATTACCAGTTAATATACTTTACCATTAAACTATATTACCAGCTATATATATAGATGACCAGTTAATATAGATTACCAGTTAACTGCTGTAGCTTCACTTATTTCCCTTCCTGTGTCTCAAAACGTTGGATCCCCTTAACATTATTTTGTTCCTTTCCACCAATAAACAGTAGTGTTGTGCAAAGCGGATTTGCTCACCATGACAACTACCCAACAGCATTACCCATCTGACCCCAAAAATAAAATGGACATAGCCATTTTTGTCACACTGCTTCATACAGTGCCCATTGACACAGCACAGGGTGGTGTGATGGCAATTTGGTGCTCTGTGGAACATTTGGTTGCCCTCTGGCCTAAGAGTCACTTCCTGGAGAGAGAGAGCTGATCAGGGTGACATGGAGGATTAGTGGGACTGGGCATCACCCGAAAACCGCCTGAGGTGAAAGCCACTGCTCCTGGTCCACATGAGGGACACACACACACAGACACACAGAGAGACAGCCATCTATATAAGTCACAGCTCGCTAGTCTTGGAAGAAATTAGTTTTTCATAAATGACACCAACTGTATTTTGTTAAAGCAAAACCGATAATTCTGTCTGATAGCAACAGCAAATGACACAGTATGTACACAAACTCATTTGTTTCAAATACCTTCTCCATATCTGGTAAATGGTATTTATTCCGCGTAAAGAGACTGTTCAGACCTGTTTAGAAATGTGTTTTCTTTCCAGAAACTTTTGCAGATTGATCTTGCAAATGGAATAGTCCCGAAAGTGCACACCATACCCGTCTGGCACTCCAGGCAGGCTCAATCAAAAAGCTCAAAGTAGAATCTCAAATCCTACTTGAACCCAGGTCTGGTAGGGATAGTGAGAGGCGTTCCAGCTGGACTGTGTTGACCTCCTTCAGTGATCCTGGCTGGGAGCATCAGCTGTGACCCCCAATGACATTACATAGCTATCTTAAACCAACAATAAACAACAATATATAAACAGCAACTGCTATCATTATTTTGCTGTCAGGCGCATGACGAGCAACTTGATGCAAAGTGTGACCCTACAAAGCTATGGCAAATGTATTTTTCAGAGAAAGATGTTAGCAACCCTCGTGAAATTCAATTCCATGATATTGTAAAAGCCACAATCTGTGAAATGTGCACATGCACATACGTATAAGTTTTAGAAATGACTAGAAATCTAGACTGCGGCTTTACAAGATTAACATTTGGACTAAGTTTATCAAGGATCTGCCTGGCCACAAAATGTATTAATGAGAAGGAACAAGATGGGCTAGTAGGAAACACTTGAGAACTCCAAGATATTCGGAGCCGGACAAATTGCAACTTCATCAACTTTGGGAGTTTAACCATCGGCGGAGGGTGGGGAGTGACGGGGGGACATCCACTTCAGGAGCCACTGAGTCATCAGCTTCGTCCCGCTTATTTCCCGGGCTGGAAACTGACCGGCCGGTTTGTGTTAGAGCCCCCCAGGAGTCCCATTCATTAAACATCACTTATACACCACGCTGAGAGGAGAAGCCAGACAACACACCTGGCCCCATCCTCCACATCGCCTCCCTCTTACTTAGCATGGCAGGAACTCAGGAAAAGGGACAGATTTCATAGGCATTTGTGGTTTGCTTTAAGATGGGAGGTTGGGACTGAATATGTTGAGAAGACAGCTTTGAAGTTTGCCATGCAACAACAACTAGTAGTGTGTGGTGGGGAAGCCTCCTTTTTTCATGTGCTATTTTTGTATTTTTATACCCTGCCCCTGTGAGGATCTGATGTTTACACTACATGCCGAAGGATCATTAAAGTTGTATTGAATTTGAATTGACAATAGGTGAAATGGTGCAGACAGACATGGATTATAGGTGGAAAGCTCTGCTGTACACTTCTATCAGCAACATTGCCCTGCTTCGTGTCTTCTGAAGGGGCACTTCAAGCTATTCTGTTGCAGATGACACTATAAGAAACATGTTTTTAAAGAGAAAGGCCAGAGAAAGGCAAAGGCAACGCATATGAGCAGAATTTATATAATGTCATTGTATTAAACAACATCAACAAAATGCTGTAAAAATGTCATACATTCTCTATCTGCCTCCCATTGGGACAGTCGGAACAAACATGATCTGTTCAACAGACAGTGCTTCATTCATTATTTTACAGTCCATAGATACAATGCAGAAAAATAATAATTGTATAGGTCACAGTAAAAAGTACAGGTAATAATTTCCTTTTTTTTTTTTTTTTTTTGAAATCATAAAAATCTGTCAGGTCGTACCCCTTCCTAACCCCTCGCTACCTTTGCTCACAATAAGTAGTTTTGAGAGTTTTCTTTCAGACTCGAAAGTATGGAAATGCCTTGCTTACATAATCACAGCAACTCAGCAGAACTGGCATTGATTGGTAGTGAGCCCCTATTTTAAAGGTTTCAGGCACTGAATGTACTATGGCCAAAGCAGGTTTCGTCATATCATTTAATTAACCCTGAATGTAATCGTTATCTATATACAAATAAAAATGCAAGGATGTTCCCTTTACATACCAATGTACAACATAAGTCTGATTAAGTTTACATCTTGATACATAGAGAAGAGTAGAAGCGAGGGATTTAGTATTTTCATTGTCCTGATGCCTTCGGTTTTCACTCGAGCCATCGGTATGCATTCGACACTAAAATGTAGAATTGATTTGTAGGCAGTGGATGAACAAGGTTTCGTTGATTGACACTGGTGTTAACGCAACACTGTGGTCCTCTGACCCGTCCAGAGTTCATGGGATTGATGACAACAGGGGGGGATGAGTTGCATTCCTTCATCTCTTTCAGAAGAGGATTACAAGTCCGCTTTTTCTTGTTTTCTATGTCTGCACATTCTTAAAAGGACAAAGTTAACTTTAGCTCTGATATGGCTGACGAGTGGAGACCCTTCTGTGAAGACATGGGAGTTTAAGAGGCAGCTCTTTAATCATCTAGGACCATGATGCATCTCCCTCATAGCCACAGAAGTAAGGATACTGCAGTACCCCCTGATAAATCTAAATAAAATAATAATACAAATATATTTTCCACAAAATTAGTGAACTAGGCCTTTATTACTGTATGAGCAGAGAACTAACCCCAAACACCCCCCACCCACCAAAACATCCCCCCCCCCCCCCCCCCCCCCACCAAAACTCCCCCCCCCCAAAACACCTCCCCCCCCCCCAACCAAAACCACTTCCTCCCCCCACCAACCCCCCCCCCCCCCACTCTCCTGCCCCCCCAACCAAAACATCTTCCTCCCCCCCCAACCAAAAACATCTTCCTGCCCCCCAACCAAAAACTATCTTCCTGCCCCCCCAACCAAAAACATCTTCCTGCCCCCCAACCAAAAACATCTTCCTGCCCCCCCAACCAAAAACATCTTCCTGCCCCCCCACCCAAAAACATCTTCCTGCCCCCCAACCAAAAACATATTGTGCCCCCCCCCAACAAAAACATCTTCCTGCCCCCCAACCAAAAACATCTTCCTGCCCCCCAACCAAAAACTATCTTCCTGCCCCCCCAACCAAAAACATATCGTGCCCCCCCCCCCCCCAAAAAACATCTTCCTGCCCCCCAACCAAAAACTATCTTCCTGCCCCCCCAACCAAAACATCTTCCTGCCCTCCCCCACCAAAAAAACATCTTCCTGCCCCCCAACCAAAACCATATTTGTGCCTCCCCCCACCAAAAACATCTTCCTGCCCCCCACCAAAATCTTCCTGCCCCCCAACAAAAATTCTCCTGCCCCCCCAACCAACAATCTTCCTGCAGCCATGACACTCCTCCCTTTTTTTCCTTTAGATCCCCTCTATCTATCTCAGGGTCTGGTGACACGTCCCGTGGCCTTCAGGTCCCTCTCTGGGTCAGCCTCACGTGCGTCAGGTCCAGGCGTCCAGGCGTGGCTCCAGGGTCCGGGCTCCAGACTGTGGCTCCAGGGTCCAGGGTCCAGAGTCCAGGCTCCAGGGCCGGGGCTCCAGACTGTGGCTCCAGGGTCCAGACTCCAGGGTCCGGGCTCCAGACAGTGGCTCCAGGGTCCGGGCTCCAGACAGTGGCTCCAGGGTCCAGACGTGGCTCCAGGCTCCAGGGTCCGGGCTCCAGGCCGGGGCTCCAGGGTCCAGGCTCCAGGGCCGGGGCTCCAGACTGTGGCTCCAGGGTCCAGACTCCAGGGTCCGGGCTCCAGACAGTGGCTCCAGGGTCCGGGCTCCAGACAGTGGCTCCAGGGTCCGGGCTCCAGACAGTGGCTCCAGGGTCCAGACTGTGGCTCCAGGGCCGGGGCTCCAGACAGTGGCTCCAGGGCTTCTCCTCTACTGACCTGACTTCTTCTCCTTCTGAAAGCTGAAACTGGTGCGCCGGCTCAGTTTACGTTGCTTCTGGGCAAAGTATTCCGCCCGCGACGTGCTGGCCCGAGACTCCAGGATGTAGTTCACCTGAGAATGAAAAACAAGGGATTGTGGGTAGTGTTTCAATCACAATATATGTAGAAATATACGTATACTACGCTACATACAGTGGGGGAAAAAAGTATTTAGTCAGCCACCAATTGTGCAAGTTCTCCCACTGAAAAAGATGAGAGAGGCCTGTAATTTTCATCATAGGTACACGTCAACTATGACAGACAAATTGAGATTTTTTTTTCTCCAGAAAATCACATTGTAGGATTTTTTATGAATTTATTTGCAAATTATGGTGGAAAATAAGTATTTGGTCACCTACAAACAAGCAAGATTTCTGGCTCTCACAGACCTGTAACTTCTTCTTTAAGAGGCTCCTCTGTCCTCCACTCGTTACCTGTATTAATGGCACCTGTTTGAACTTGTTATCAGTATAAAAGACACCTGTCCACAACCTCAAACAGTCACACTCCAAACTCCACTATGGCCAAGACCAAAGAGCTGTCAAAGGACACCAGAAACAAAATTGTAGACCTGCACCAGGCTGGGAAGACTGAATCTGCAATAGGTAAGCAGCTTGGTTTGAAGAAATCAACTGTGGGAGCAATTATTAGGAAATGGAAGACATACAAGACCACTGATAATCTCCCTCGATCTGGGGCTCCACGCAAGATCTCACCCCGTGGGGTCAAAATGATCACAAGAACGGTGAGCAAAAATCCCCGAACCACACAGGGGGACCTAGTGAATGACCTGCAGAGAGCTGGGACCAAAGTAACAAAGCCTACCATCAGTAACACACTACGCCGCCAGGGACTCAAATCCTGCAGTGCCAGACGTGTCCCCCTGCTTAAGCCAGTACATGTCCAGGCCCGTCTGAAGTTTGCTAGAGTGCATTTGGATGATCCAGAAGAGGATTGGGAGAATGTCATATGGTCAGATGAAACCAAAATAGAACTTTTTGGTAAAAACTCAACTCGTCGTGTTTGGAGGACAAAGAATGCTGAGTTGCATCCAAAGAACACCATACCTACTGTGAAGCATGGGGGTGGAAACATCATGCTTTGGGGCTGTTTTTCTGCAAAGGGACCAGGACGACTGATCCGTGTAAAGGAAAGAATGAATGGGGCCATGTATCGTGAGATTTTGAGTGAAAACCTCCTTCCATCAGCAAGGGCATTGAAGATGAAACGTGGCTGGGTCTTTCAGCATGACAATGATCCCAAACACACCGCCCGGACAACAAAGGAGTGGCTTCGTAAGAATAATTTCAAGGTCCTGGAGTGGCCTAGCCAGTCTCCAGATCTCAACCCCATAGAAAATCTTTGGAGGGAGTTGAAAGTCTGTGTTGCCCAGCGACAGCCCCAAAACATCACTGCTCTAGAGGAGATCTGCATGGAGGAATGGGCCAAAATACCAGCAACAGTGTGTGAAAACCTTGTGAAGACTTACAGAAAACGTTTGACCTGTGTCATTGCCAACAAAGGGTATATAACAAAGTATTGAGAAACTTTTGTTATTGACCAAATACTTATTTTCCACCATAATTTGCAAATAAATTCATTAAAAATCCTACAATGTGATTTTCTGGATTATTTTTTCTCATTTTGTCTGTCATAGTTGACGTGTACCTATGATGAAAATTACAGGCCTCTCTCATCTTTTTAAGTGGGAGAACTTGCACAATTGGTGGCTGACTAAATACTTTTCCCCCCCCCCACTGTAGCTTGTACAATTGGTTATTTTTCACACAGAAAAAAACGTATTGGTGTTGATGGGATGGTCAAATGTCAAATAGTCACAATTAATAATCAATTTGAAAATCCAAAAAGCAGGACATATTGCTTTTTCAAGTGGCATGGGACACCAGATGACTGACAGTCAGGATGACACCCTGATGTCTCGTTACATCCAGTAGATGTCACTAAATGGGAACATATGCTATTTAAGGAGAAACACGGACAGCTCATAAACGGCAGACTTATGAGCTGGGAGATCTGAGGCGGAGATAACGTAGATAATTTTAATGGAGGTTTAATGCCTAGACCTGAGATATAATAAGCTAAGCCTTAAGAGAGAGAAGGGATACTTCAAAAGACTCGTTTTAAAAGCGGAATTACCACGCCCTGTGGGATCCTCCTCATCCATGATGTTTTATTGGTAAATGCATAAACATGCTGTCAATAATTTCATGGCTAGTAAAATCCTTGGCATTCACATGGAAACCCTGTGCTTCGGACCAAAACGTTCACACTCAGGTAATTTTTTTTAAAATATGGTCTGGTGTTTGGTTATAATGTGCCTCATGGGAGGCAGCTGTGATGTGTGTGACTATACCTTTTATGATGGTGGGAAGCGAGGGGGTCCGTTCAAACAACAGATATGAGGGGTATGAGTTTGGATCAGATGAACATTCAAAATACTCAAGAGAAATATTGTTGCTGTAAAGTACTAATGTTTGTTTCTCTCACCTGCTTTATACGGAAGTCTCCCCGATATCCTGCCCTTCTTTTTAAACCCCCAGGCCACAGTGACTTGTAGTAATGAAAGCATTATTCCCTGCAATGTGTGGTCACACTCAAAAGGAATACCCCAGGGGTCAACTCCGGGCCCGCTGAGATTTCCCGAGATGGAATCATCAGGATAAGGGTACTTATCAAACCGCCAGCTCATGGGTCACACCTGCCAACCCCGGTGACATGCCTCCACCGAGCCACAGTGATGACATGCTACTGAAAGCCCTGTCCCCTGAGAGTAGGTAACTAGAGTCCTCACAATTACCTGCAATTTTCACCCCACCTGCTCTGACTTTCAACATGCACCCCACCTGCCCTGCCCTGGCCTTCAACCTTCACCCCACCCACCCACCCTGACCTTCAATCTTCACCCCACCTGCCCTGGCCTTCAACCTTCACCCCACCCACCCTGACTTTCAACTTTTCACCCCACCTGGCCTTCAACCTTCACCCCACCAGCCCTTCAATTTTCACCCCACCTGCCCTGACCATCAATCTTCACACCACCTTCCCAGGCCTGCAACCTGCACCCCACCTTCCCTGGCCTGCAACCTGCACCCCACCTGCCCTTCAATCTTCACCCTAACTGCCCTTCAATTTTCACCCTAACTGCCCTTCAATTTTCACCCTAACTGCCCTTCAATTTTCACCCTAACTGCCCTTCAACCTTCACCTCACCTCACCGCCCTTCAACCTGCACCCCACCTTCCCTGGCCTGCAACCTGCACCCCACCTTCCCAGGCCTGCAACCTGCACCCCACCCCACCTGCCCTGGACTTCAACCTTCACCCCACCTGCCCTTCAGGAGATTCTCTCCCATGCTCCACTTTCAAGACTTATTACGGAAAAGTCCTTAAAAGTCAATTAATCATCAGTAACACTAATTAAAGAGAGTATCATTATCTTCCGTATTTTAATGGTTACAGTTGAATTATCATAGGCCGATGTGGTAAAAATGCCTCACGGCCTTAATCTACATTTTTAATAGGATATTTCATATTTGCATCTCTGAGTGCGCATACAATTAGGTTTTTTAACCCTACGGGTATGTGGGAGACTGCATAATAATATAGTACAACTGTCAATATCTGTCAATAGTGACTTGTACCCTGCAGACCTGACTTTGTAAAGTACATGAAGAGGTAAAACAACGTATTTCCATGTGACGTGGAAGCAAAAGGCACAGCGACCCACCCCATTACTCACCTTCAGCACGATCTCATTGACAGTAGCAGCATCAGACTCAAAATACAGGGGCTTGTAGTCGTGGTTGCTGAGGTGTGTGAGCTTGAATATTGCATGACCTGCAAGACAAGGAGGAAGAGGACGTTAAATACAAGACAGTAAAATAAGGAATTCACACAAACCAAGAGACTGTAAAATCATTGTCCCCACAGCAGGGATAAGGTTCACTTTTATATTACAGTCAAGGGACAGGGCCTAGACCTTTATATTACAGTCAAGGGACAGGGCCTTTATATTACAGTCAAGGGACAGGACCTAGACCTTTATATTACAGTCAAGGGACAGGACCTTTATATTACAGTCAAGGGACAGGACCTAGACCTTTATATTACAGTCAAGGGACAGGACCTTTATATTACAGTCAAGGGACAGGACCTTTATATTCCAGTCAAGGGACAGGACCTTTATATTACAGTCAAGGGACAGGACCTATACCTTTATATTACAGTCAAGGGATAGGACCTTTATATTACAGTCAAGGGACAGGACCTTTATATTACAGTCAAGGGACAGGACCTTTATATTCCAGTCAAGGGACAGGACCTAGACCTTTATATTACAGTCAAGGGACAGGACCTTTATATTACAGTCAAGGGACAGGACCTTTATATTCCAGTCAAGGGACAGGACCTAGACCTTTATATTACAGTCAAGGGACAGGACCTTTATATTACAGTCAAGGGACAGGACCTAGACCTTTATATTACAGTCAAGGGACAGGGCCTAGACCTTTATATTACAGTCAAGGGACAGGACCTTTATATTACAGTCAAGGGACAGGACCTTTATATTACAGTCAAGGGACAGGGCCTAGACCTTTATATTACAGTCAAGGGACAGGACCTAGACCTTTATATTACAGTCAAGGGACAGGACCTTTATATTACAGTCAAGGGACAGGACCTTTATATTACAGTCAAGGGACAGGGCCTAGACCTTTATATTACAGTCAAGGGACAGGACCTTTATATTACAGTCAAGGGACAGGACCTTTATATTACAGTCAAGGGACAGGACCTTTATATTACAGTCAAGGGACAGGACCTAGACCTTTATATTACAGTCAAGGAACAGGACCTTTATATTACAGTCAAGGGAAAGGACCTAGACCTTTATATTACAGTCAAGGGACAGGACATTTATATTCCAGTCAAGGGAC